TTAAAATGATCTGATGGTCTGTTGCACATTAAGAAACAAAATAATTCATTAATTAAGCACCTGTGTCTATTTGTAGAAGCGTCTTTATTTATATTTTTTTGAGTTCCTATTTCGTCAAAGTTTAAACTTCCGATCTAATAATCGTCAAACATCTATATATAAAATCCTAGAAATGATCAAAGTGAACAAGTTTTGTAATCTTTCTGTCTCAAAAATGATTACTATGTTGAGATTTTCACTTTTAAAATATTTTGTACAATAAATAAAAATTCAAACTGAACTATTATTTCGAGACGAGAATATTTCTTTTTCCCTAACATATATACGTGTGTAGTTTTGATTTCGCTGTACTTTTTAATCATTGGAGAATATTTCCGTGATCAATTTCAAATTAGACCTAACTTTAATATTTTATAATTGAAAGACAGGAATAAGCATCGAGGACTGATGTCTAACTATGCATTCGTGGATTTCTTTCGAATCAAACCCTAATGTAAAGATAATTTGCGGTGGAAAAAAAAATTCACAAAAAAAAGATGTGGTCTCAAAGAATGATGTTATCGCTTGCATAATATTATTTGGGAAATGAAAAAAAAAACAAATAAGACAAAATTCAGCAAATGAAGTCGGCAACAGGGACATATATATAGCGTCATATGTCTGTCAATTTTTGTGCATTAAATTGGGGCGAACCGTGTTTGTCGAGTCGACAGCTCTTTTTTCTTTTTTTTTTCTTACACAAAATTTTGGGATGTTCTGAAATTTATGCATTCCATTCTGAGTAATAATCTCTATTATTTTTGGACTTTACTACGCCATCACAATCCCCTTTTCAGCCCCAATCTCAATAGAACGGTCCCCTGCTTGAAAAGAACACAAAATACGTATACAAATTTTTTCATATTTGCAAATTGGAAGGTGTCTCATTTCACAATGGTCACTAATCTTTATTGTTAAATTATAAATATTCTGATCGGAATTATCCTTGATCTAAGAAAATGACTATAATACTCGTACGCTTCTGAAATTGTACAGTATTTTAGGACAAAGAGCGTATATAAAATACATAGGTCGGACAAATAAAAAAGTGTTAGAAAATCCCAATTGGTAATTGTAATAGAATTTTGTGGGAAGAATTAATTGAGGGACACATGCACGGGAAAATACGGCTGTTTGTTTCATCAGTCAACCAAAAAAAAAAGAAAAACATAAATAAAAATGGGCCTGAATGGCAGAACTAGATGTGCAAGTGTGTATGTAACACAAAATTGCATAAGCCACGATTGAATTTCAGAACCTTTTTTTTTTTTTTTTTGTCTTCATTTTGCAACAATTTTTCTTGCCTCTTCAATACTTAGGTCCAGGTTCAACGCAAGTGTCGATTTCCTTCTAGTTTTTGTAAAAAAAGTTTCATTTCAAGCATTGAATTTTCGGTGGGGTTTTATGCGTGGGTGATGATGTCTTGTGGCTTTTGGTTGGACTTATTCAATTTAGTGTGTATGTGCGTGTTCTTTCTATGTTGGCCTTTCAAGTTTGAAATTAGAAGCTAAATAGCAAATGGTGTAGGGGTGGGGAAAGTATGGGCACTTGGCACATCAATTTAAAAGAGGTCAATTGTCTTTAAGTTGTGAGGTGGACTATATAGTATATATGACTCTACATATATATGGTAGTATATTCCATCTTGTTGATGTGGAATGCAAGAGAAGCCATCCTTACCAAAGAGAAATTATCTATACATCTTTCAATCGTACGTGTTTAATTTGACACAAAAACAATGTAATTTCTAATTACTGAATGATATCTCAAATCAAAAAAAAAAAAATGTGATTAATTATATTTTTTAGACGAATCACCTTTTAATTAAACACCGCGATAAACCCTTATCTTTTTACCAAAAGTACCGGTTTCATTTGCATCATGTAATTCCCCTAGGGAGACACTATATTAAAGTTTAGGAAAATTATGCGATTTATTTACAATATATAATAATGATGTAAACAAAAACTAACTTAGAAAGTTTCCTCTTCATAAGTTACACCATGCTAATTAGGATATGTCATATGTTTTATCACATGCGTTACATTATTTACTATCTCAATTCACCTATTTTATCTAATCCATAATATGAAAGAATAGATCCATGTGGTTGGCATTGTACACAGCTGGAAGTTTGATGTGTTTCCGCTTTTGTACTTGTTTAGTGTTTTTATAGTACTAAGATGAGAGCAAACCACGTATGTACTAGTAGACTGTTCAAACTAATTCTAACCCTTTTTCGGACCGAAGCCGTTGTTTCTTGATTAAAAGAATATGCATTGGGAATGATCACATGACCAGAAGATCCTCGTTGATACAGGGAAGGAAAAACCTTCTTTTGTTTTTTTTTTTTTTGGGAAAAATCGAACATATACTTATTTATTTAGGCATCGATGGACTCATTTGGAAGGAAATGAATAAATGATAGGGGGGCCATATTTGGTGTATGTGGATATGGAATGATTGAATGTGGTTCTAATGGTAGTTTCTATATTTAGAAATAATAAGAAGAAGAAGAGGGAAAAAGGTGGTCGCAGCTAATTGGATTACCAATGTGAAGCCATTTGTTATATATATCAGCATCTTACGAGTACGTTGAAGATACATGCAAGTGAATCCTCGATTACCTTCGGGTCAAGGAAATGTTTTCATACGTTACACATTATTTGTATTTTTTTTTTTCTTCTGGTGGTACTAAAGATACTTCCATCTTAAAATGATTTTAGAACAGTGAAAGTATTTTAATACGTATTTTATAACCGTAATAACAAGTCTAATGAAGTGTTAAATGTTATTACAGTATTTGTTATCACTTTTTTCAAAAAAAAAAAAAAAAAACGAACTAAATTATGTTCTGTTTTTTTTTTTTTAAAAAAATGTCTTTTGTGATTGTATGAGGCGTATTAAATACCTACTATACTGAGACAAGTAGTTACTAGAAACAAGAAAACAGAAGCTGTTATTTCCAAATTAATGAGCGGACAATGGTGGTTTAGATCAACTGTGGTTTGTGTGGTGGGCAATTGGTTGACGAGAGGCTTCTACGTTTGTTCCCTTTATATTTTCGGAATACGTTTGTGTTCTTCTTCTTCCTTAATAAAATCAGAAAAAAAGATAAAATAGACATAAAATCCCTTAATTATAACTACATAAAAATATCTTAATTATAGGTATATATTAATCCTTTAAAAAAACAATATTTCGTTGACAAAATTAAATGTAAGGAAATCCCGTTAAATCAAGTGAAACATCAGCAATTCCTTTCCAATTCCCAATTTCAAAGAATCTCTTCCATTCCGTTCCTCTCTCACACCCGGGCCTTTAAATCAATTACTTAAAATCTGACATCAATTATCAATCCATCTCTTTCTACAACAGAGAAAAAATAAGCTGTCATGAAAGAAATTTGATTTTTTAAGGATGATTTTTTTTATTCTTCTGTTGTAGATATTATTTTATGATTTATTTAAACCTGGGTATAAGTTAACTGTTATAAATTAAATATTGTAAATTTGGACATAAATTTATGTGTAATAGCTCACTTTCTGTTCTTTCAATCGATTTTTTATTCTTTTAATTTTTTTTATTCTTTTAAGAATGATTCGTATTTTTTATTTAATCAATTTAAAAATACAGGCGACATCCCGGACATTCACTCGGGATAAGCATCTACATATTGCTGTCGTCCGCAAAAGTGCATATGTATGCATATTACAAAACCGTGGCGGATAGCAAACCTCTTTTTTTCTTCTTTTTTTTTTTTTTGAGAAATAATAGTGATGAGTCTCGTAAACAAAGAAGAAGATGGAAGGCAAGAACATCAATTGTTGGTTGAAGTGGTAGCAAGTGTGGTCTCGTAATTAAACAGAGGTCATGATTTCAACTTATATGAATGGCAGATAATTTGTTGGGAAGTTTTGCCAACACGAGAAAATGTAAAACTTAATTTTAGGGAATTAGGATATAGTTCTGTTCTCGTTGGACCATTCAATTTTTAAAAACGAAAACTTAGTTGGAGCATTGTACTGAAATTTCCATTGGTTAGGGAATAAAATATACTCCATTTACAATTTTTACCTAAAAAAACAAAAAGAAGAAAAGAAAAAAACGAGACAGAGAGTAGCAAATATATGTGGAGTTTGGAGAGATCAAAATTCACATAAGACGGTGAGAGAATACGCAATGTTATTTTCATTTGCCACCCAAAGATAAAAAAAAATACTGTGAAAGGTAAAAAAGTTGAAAAAGGGTAATTTGGAGGAACATTCTGTGATGTGGGCCACCACCTATCGGGAGTTTAGCGAATCTTACAGCTTTTTTTTTTTTCTGGGGAAGGAAGCAAATTGCAACGACACGTGGAAGATGATCCCACAGTACGTCGTCGTCGTGTGTGTCAACAGTCCGCTGCACCTACGTACTCTTCCCGCGTGGGGTCCCACTTTTGCATGCCCAAATCATCAATCCAAAAAGTTCATTTTTGACCGTTGATTTTTCCTTCTTATTCTATAGGGAGTAGTTCATTCATACTTCTTCTTCTACTTGACTGGGCTCTACTTGGCTACTTGAACTTGCTACTTGTGGAAAAGGGAAAATGTTGTTTCTTCATTGGTCCTTTGCAAATTGCAATTAATTAACACAAAAAAAAAAAACAATTTTCTAATAGATTGTTTAGTCAAAACAATTACAACTATTTTGATGTGAATGTTTCTTTGTGATTAGATTGACTCACGTGTCATTGGACTACAGTAACTACATTATTTATGCCTTACTATAAGAAGTAGATAACTCTTCAAATTAACAACATTTTAGTTCAAGTTGTACTTCCCTATGTACAAGTAAAAATACTTCCTATCTCCCTAAACTATTATTCAATTTAATATTTCACTTTATATACAATTTAAACTAGAAATAAAAACCCAAATTGGATAATAATTATGGGACGAGTGATATTTTGGGTTTAATTTAACTTATCCACTAAGCTGTTTCTTTTTTCCATTCACAGAGAAAGAAATGGAGTTAACAAGGGAACACATAATTCCTTGTTCTTTTATTCATTGTTCTTCATATATTCATAGGAATAAATGATTAAATATACATTACATATATTAGGTCAAAATTTAATATAACATGTAGGCAAAGGGAATTAAACAAATATAATATAACCAAAAAAAAAAAAGATGAGACTGGTTCAAGATTTTTGTTGAATCTATCAGCCAAGGTCTCACTCTATCCATGGATTTCTCTTTCTTTCTAATTTTTCTTTCTTCTCTTTACCCCCAACCCTAAAACATTTTCACATATTTACACCTTCACCCGCTGAAAAACGAAGGATTACTAATGGCATCCCCATACTTTTTTATACTCCATCTACCATTACTGCAACACTACTGGGCAGCAACTCTCCACCAGCTTTGTTATCCAAAGTTGAATCCAGTTCAAGCTGAAGATGAGCTACTTTCGATGCAGTCATCGTCGATGGTAGCCGGGAACTGAGCTGTTCAAAGCTCGGCGTTAGAGCTTTCTCTACCCACTCTCCTAAGCCAGACCGACCATGCCATAGCCCTCCTACGATCCTCTCTACGGCCTCTTCATCTACTTGAATGGAGGCCCTGTCATCTAAAACGATGGAGAACTTGGTAGCAATGGTTTTCTTGATCTCGCTACGAACAAAGGCCAAGCTCACAGGCTTGAATACTATAGCATCATCAGCTAAATTGAAAAGCTCATGAGGCACTGAGGTTGTAAATTGCCCAGTTTCAAGGCCATGCTCGTCTTCGTGATCTACGGTGAGGTCGCTCGAATTGTGGGATCCATCTGTTCTATCATCTTCACCATCTGCTGCTAAATTAAGGTCAAAAGATAGGCCGGAACTGGCTTGAATTCTTGGCCTTGTTGGTCTATCAGCATCCTGCAACCAACTTATTCTTCGTTTGGCATTCTTTTCACTCATCCTTAACTTCAACTGCCAATTACCACTCGCTAAGGAAGCAAACTTCTTTTCATCTACGGAAGCTTCAGCATTACTTATCGATGACCAATTGCCCGTTAAAATAAATATGACATTGCCGAGACTAATTTCACGACCATGAGAATCAGTAATCCTACCCCTTTCCATCGCACGCTTGATGTTGCCACGCATCAACATATCTGCTTCATCAACATCTTCCAACACAATGACTGAAAAGGGATTCATTCTAACAGCTTCCACGATCCGATCCAGTGCTGTCTTACCCCGGAAAATTGTATTTCGGCCTGCATCATCACGTCGTGAACCAAGAGGTATCATAATTGGATTAACACCAGACATTTGCTCAGAGAGGACAGATGCCATCTTCCTCTTTGCAATCCGATCAGGACCAGTAAATAACAACCACACATCACCCTTAGATGCACCACCCCGCTGTTTACCATTCCCTAATCGACAACGTGTAACAGCTGAGGCCACTGCAGAGGCTGCTTCTTGCTGCCACCAAGCTTTTTCCATCAGACCTTTTAAAAGCTTTTTGAAAGAATCAGCATCTAATGCACTAGCAAATTTCTCAACCAGCTTCATCTGAGGTGCAGAGCAAAGGCGACTTAACAAGTCTTTTACTTGCTCTTCTCCAGTTTCAGTGGCCTTTTCAGGAGTTGTTTCATTGGCTTTACGGCCAAGAGCAAGTTCTGTTCTCACGGGGCTTCGAGGAGGAGTGCCAGCACGGTCCTTTGGTTGAATGACCACTTCAGTAGGAGTACTGCGACCACCCAGAGGCGGGATGATTGACTGGTTCGGTGCAGAAACACGATCTAAAGGTTGGACGGCCCCTTCATTCTGAGTCAATTGCAGAGTATTGCCAAGTATCCGTGTAGTTGGCAATTTCGATGGAATGGGTTGATGTAGAAGTAGTTTTGGATTGCACAAGCTCATAGTTGGCAATGCTGGAGAAGATCTCTCTGGATTAACACTTTGATGGAAGCTAGGATGCAGCCGCAAACATGTATCGTTCCATTTCCTTTGTAATGCTTGAGTTTTCTGCTTCGCAAGCAATTCTGGATCCTTCTGAAAATCCACAAAAACATTTTCAACCACCGTTTTCTCAATGGCTTCATTCAAAAAACTAGAAATTGTTAAAAGAAAGCATACCTGAGACATATCTGTCAATTTTACAGCTCCGTTGCCAAGTTTGGCATTCTGCAGCCACTGCGGAAGAGAAGTCTGAGCTGGGGCTGGTTCCGACTTCTTATCAGGGGATGAATTTTCTAACTCTTTCCTCATAAGGGTCAGCTCTTGCTCATATTTCTCCAAACACTGTGGACAACAGGAGATTTTTCGCGCAGGATCAACTTTCTCACTGGCTGCCCTTGACAAAGCCGGATTCAATAGTGGCATCTTCTTCAATGAATTTAGAGGATCCGTGGAATTACCCAAAATTCTTTCAGCTCCAGGCCTACATGATTAAGAAATTAATTAAACAACAACGACAAATACAGATCTCAAAGCCAAGCACATCAGATATGCACCATCTGAACCAAAAAGAACAGACATCTGGTCATATTAAAAAACAATTGCAAGGATGAACTAAAACACATCTTTACCCTAGTATGCTACTCCTTACAGACTAAACATGGTCTGAATTATAACTGCTTTAACCATTTTCATCATAATATAAATGGCTGGATTAGCAATTGCTCATAAAGTTAAATTGCTTTTATAGCCAGATACCATCAGTTTATCCAATTAGGAAAACGAACAAGGGGAAAGGATCCTTTGAATCATTTAAGTCCTTCACGCATCCACAATTCTAAACAAAATATGTAAGCAAACAAATCAGTAAAATTGTGAAAACAAGTGTAGAAGCCACTGAACGTACCTTGAAAACATTCCTGGCATGGGGGATCTAGAAGTGATCGGAACAGCCTGAAGATCCCAATCGGTTTCCATTGTAGGATGATAAACTTGACACCTTAAATATGTCTCACAGGTTGCAGTTCCAATCAACCAACACTTACCGCGGATACCGTTCTCACCAAAGCTTGACAACAATTTCCCCATTTCCGCCACGGCTACCTTCCCTGCCTCTGAAACAACCTGCTGCTGCTGCTGACCGCCACCGGAACCTCCAAAATTCCCAGGCTGCTCGACAAGCCATTTCAAATCCCCCAAATCAAGAATCACCCCACCACTTCCGTTTCCGCTCATCCTACTCTCCACCAAAGCTTCGAGTTCCTTGATTTTCTCCACCATTTGATTCTTATCAGAACCGAGCTCTTTCTCAACTGAAACCACTGCAACATTCTTGAATAGCCCGTCATTACCCAATTCCCCTTTCTCAATTTTCTGTACAAGCTCCTTGACAACGGCCTCTGGCTCGGCCTCACCAACCAAAATAGGATTCCTTTTCTTAGTCCTCATCAAAATATCCACAACTTTCTTCACCTCTTCATTCCGCTGACTACCCAATTGGCCAGACCCACCCTCCATGAGGCGGCGATTCAAGTACATATTCCGATTAGGCATAGTCATAACTGGAGCCAAATTTGGGGTAGGAACCGGAATAGAAGTTGGAGGTGTGAGCAACCTTGGACCGGAGATTCCTCCGAATGTCCCCAAATTAACATTCCCATGAGGGATAGCATTCGAACTGGTATTCGAACTCGAATTCAAGGATTGTTCAATAGTGGCTTTTACAGCCGGGCTTGAAAAACTCGCCTCCCTCATCACCCGACTAACACTTGGGTCATCCAAGATTGAGATTATCAATTGTTCCAGCTCCACCTTAACGGCCAACAACGGTTGCTGCTGCTGCTCAGGACAACCCCTCCTCTGATGCGCTTGAGCCCGCTTAAGAGCCGCCATCAAAGCATTAGAAATGGGTGGCTCCATCCCGGGAGCCATGTTCTGAGCAGTCGGAAGCCGCTCTAATGCCACGCTGAAACAGAGCTCCAAAGCCCGGCACTGAAGCGGGTGGGAGGAATTAGGATGAGAACGAATACATGCTTGTCTGAGATACCCAGATGGGGAAGCCAAAAGGGTCGCCGCCACATGGAGCGGAGTTGTTTGGCCGTGATTTCTCCGGCCGGCTTCCGCTATGGAGTGGTTAAGGACGCTGGCAGCTTCCGGGGTCAGGGTCTGTTGAATAGTACTCAACCCTGCCCTCATACTCCAACAAATTTACACTTGGAAACAACCACAAAATCCTACTCACGAACTAGAAAAAAAAACAAAATTCCAAAAAAACCAATCTGGAGCTAGCTCAAGCTGAGCTGGGGAGATCACAAACAATCTTATCAGAATGATCAATGTTCCAACGGTCTCCGATACAGTATCCCAGGGTAGAAATTCAATTCAATCGAATAAAACTCCCCCCAAAAGAAAAAAATTCTTTCAATAAAGAATGAATGATACAGAAAGCTCTCTGGGTTCCGGCTTCTTTGATTTTAGCTTAAGCTAAAAAGGATCTATGTATATGGAAGTGTGGTGCCCCCTTCAACTTTACAAGAGTTCCACAACAAAAAAAGGCTATATTGGAATTTCAACGCGAAAGGGAAAGATCACACTCTTCCTCCTCAATTCAATTCACACACACACACAGAGACAGATATACCTTTCTCCTTCCTTCTCATTTCCCTGATTTTCTCTCTCTCTATCTCTAAAAAATACAGAGAGTTTTTATGTTCTGTTTTGATGTTTTTTTGTTTGGGTTGAAGGAGATGAATGATGATGATGATAAAAGCAATGAAGACATATACTATACACACAACAGCTCAACTCACCGTCTCTTTCAGCATTGAATAGGCCGGAAAGGAAAATATCAACTCTCTCCTCCTAGCCTACATAATAATGAAAGGTAAAGAAAATCCACACAAAACTTAAAAAATAACCAAAAAAATACGAATAAATACAGTGAGAGAGAGAAAGAGAGAGATGACATCCATCATAAATCAAGCGTTTATTATTATTGGGCGTTTTTACTTTTCTTTTTTTCCTTCTCCAATTTTTTGTTTAGAAAATTCAGTGTGTGAGTGCGTGAGAGAGAAAAGAAACAAGGATGTGGGATGATGATGAAAATGGGAGTATAAAACCACTTTTTTTGTGCCTTCAAAGAAGAACACCAGAAAAAGCCAAGTGAAGGTTAAAAAAGAGATAAAATTAAAAAGGGGGTTTTTTAGTTTTTAAAATGTTTTTTTGAGGTGGCAAAAGAAAGGGGGAGCATGCAGAGTGTTTTGGTTGTCCTATTAGAGAGAGAGAGAGGATTATACATATATATAAATATTAAAAAAAAAGTGGGTGTTGAGAAAAAAGAGAGAGAATTTATGGAAAATAGAAAAGGTGAGGAGGAAGAGATGTACTTTCAGTTGCAAGGATTTCTGGAAAAACAAATGCACCTTCTCTCCCCCTTTTCTGTCCTTTTTCTCTTCCTCTACTTTTTCCAATTTTCTTTTTTTTTTTTAGCTTTTTCCTTCAAAAAAAATTTAAAATTTACACCTTCTCTTTTTCTTTTGCTCAATCCAAGAGATCTGGCTAATAAATGCTGAAGTCTAGTAATCACTCCGTTCCAAAATAAATGTCGTTTTAGCGAAATAGAAAAATTTTAAAATAAGTGTAATGCACTTTTTGTTCAAAGTTTTCAAAATTACCCTTAAACGAATTAATAATGTTGGTGGACCTTTTTTAATGGGGTTGGTTGAGGATATTCAAGTAATTTTATTACCATATTTAAGAGTTTCTTAAACTATGTGTAAAGTGTAGGATGATACTTATTTTAGAATGGAGGGAGTACAAAACATTTTAATATTGAATGATTAGTGTGTTACTAATAAACGATAAGGCTCTTCTTTTATGTGAAAGAAAACCATATCATTATGCTCTATTTTCTTTTATTCACAATAATTGGTTTATGATCCAATATCTCCGTGTATTATTTGTTCAAGTTTTTAGGATTCATATTCACATCTACTTAGATTCAAACTCATAATTTCATAGTGTTACTTTAAATCCTAAAATTTTACTTCGTGATTAAGGTGCGTACTCAATATTAATTTTCGTATCTAATTCATAGTAGATCACACGTTATTATAATTTTCACATTTTTTAATCAAAATTCATGGGAATGAAAATTATTCTTTTTTAAAAGAAAATTATTGGAATGTATATACTCTTTCTTGTTCCAATAACTCATTATTTTATTAAGTTGTGAAGATAAAGAGAGAGGGAGAATAGAAAGAGAAGGGGGGTGGTTGAAACTTGAAAGGGGGTGAGGGGGATGAAAAGTAGTAGTAAGATAAATGAACCTTTTTAAGAGGTGGTGAGGAGATTCATATGAGTAGATTACTTTTACTTTTATGACATTAACAAACAAACACACTTTGCTTTCTCTCCCTATCTTTTTTTCTCCTCATGACTAAAGATTGACTGCCTTTTTAGCTCTCATTTGTCTTGCATTACTAGAGTTTTTCTAATCTGGTTGTTTGGTTTTTTTATGGTTTTTTCATATTATTTTAATAATAACTGTCTTAACTCAGCATACCTTTTTATATTTTTAATACACTTTTTTACATTCCCAATACAAAAAATACCTAAAAACACACACTAAAAAAACAAAACAAACATATAATATAATTGACATCACATCAAACAACCAAAATTATATCTTCTCCTTTTCTTTTTCTTTTTTTTTTCCCTAGTCTTCTCATAATTATAATTGCATTAATAAACTTTTTAAAGTTGGTTTTTTTTAGGAAAACCACTTTGAAATATCAATAATGAATATTTGGTTTTTAATTATTTATTAATTTTTTTAGGGCAGAAATCTTCAACATTTTATACTACATAAATAGATTTGTTATAACTGCTGACTTGAATTACTGCAGTTTCCAATAAGAATAATGATATATCTAGTAAAAATTTTATAATAAAAGTGTCAAGAAATAATCGCATTCATTAGTTTTTAATACTTTTCAACTTCTTTCAGTCCAGTACCTTATCAAACATATATAGCTTGAATTATTTTGTAGTGCATCATAATTTATTTTGTGGTAATACTTTAGTAAAACAATTTTCTCTTACATTTTTTGTCATTAAACAGTTTATTCTAAAAAAAAAAGATGATGTCCCCCCCTTCCCCCCCTTTTTTTGAAACAGTACATATATATTAATTCAAAGTACCTAAACTATTACAACGTTGTTTAGTATAATCTAGTTACTGTAGTTCATTAACATCATTTCTACTAACCTTAACTAGAATACGTGATTGAAAAGTAGATATTAGATTCCGTAGTTGAGAAACCACGTTTTGTGCTTCACTGGGAAGGGCGGAAGGCAGTTCAGGGGTTGATATATAGTCAACATTTCCCAATCAGTTTGCACTGGGACATTTTGTAGTAATAATATAATTGTGACAATTGTACAATTCATGAACTCTTTCGGTAAATTAAAGTACAGTGTATAATCATATGAGTAATAATGTTAAAATGTGAAAGTGAAAATAAGTCTATTATTACGAAACCAAGCAAGAGTCTCCAAAAAAAAAAAAAAAAAAAAGCAGCCTAAAAGTTTCAAAATCCAAAAAGGGGGGCCGCGTATGAAGTAAACTGCCCTCATTCGTCAGACCCTTAAATCGAATCGTGTAAAGATGAAGAAATCAAAAATATTTGGCGTGGGTTTAAAAATGTTCACAAACTACTGGCCTTTCCTTTTTGTTTGCCTTTAAACCAAATTTTCTGCTTTTCTCACGCAAAGTAACACATATACACAAAAAGGGGGGGCGGCATGCCTAAAATCATTATCTCCTTTTAATCTCATTTTTCTCAATATTTTCTTTTTCTATTTTTGCCTTTACCATTGACTTTCGAAAATGAATCTACCTCTCTCTCTCTTTTTCTGACTACTATTTAGGTGGAAAAAGAACCACTCACCAACAATTTCCTTGTTCAATTCATGAATTCATTTGGTGGTTGTCTTACTTTTATGTTTTGGTCATGAAAGTTTTAGGTTTTGTGCAATTTCTTGATGCGTGTTGAAAAATTTATGTAGTAGTGAATGTAAAGTATTGAGTTTTCAACTTTGTATTTTTAGAACAAATTTTAAAATTCAACGTGGACTATTTTTTCGGAACAGAAGAAGTAATTGTTTCAAAATAGAATAAAATCAACCTGGCCAACAAGAAAAGAAAATCAATATCATAATTCGTTGTTGTTTAAATCATTTCATGGTTCCTAAAAAATGAAGAAATATGAGTAGCTAAGTTAATTGGATATCCTCATCAATTTATAAATGTGCTTTGAGCAAGATTAGTACAAGAACTAATAGTATTTCTTGTCGGTAAGTTTTAATTTCTAGCCGGTAAGTTTTGCAAACATATGCTTTTTTTTTTTTTATTTAACATCAATAAAAATTTTCTAGAGTAATAGCTATATATATACCTATGAGGAAACTTTGTGACTGGAGATAGCCCCAGCTTACTTTTAATAGAAGTTTCTCGTTCTTTTGTTTAGGGTAAAAAGTTTTTCCCCTTTAATTAAGTGACTTCAATTTATAACTTGGTGAAATTTTTTGTCATGATAATACCGTTAATTAGACTTTCAAATAAATAAAGTAGACTCTGAAAACTTTGCTCCTGGTCTAACATGTATATCGCCCTGTGATCGTCGTAATTATCTATGATTTGAAATGAAAATTATTATTTGGACCGATTAAAACTAAGGCTCTATTTGGTTGGTTTTTTAATGGTTTTTTCATATTTTATTATTATTATCTGTCCCATCCCAGCATATTTTTTTACAGTTCTAATGCATCTTTTTTACAGTCTCAATACAAAAAATACCTAAAAACACACACAAAAAAAGAGTATGTTTGGAAAAAAAATTCAAAACTCTTTTTTGGAGTCTTGGGACAAAATCAAATGGTTAGATTTTCTTTGTTTCTATTAGCACTTGACCATCTTTTTTGCTGTAAACCTTAACCTATCTGGTCTGTATTTAGCAACTAGTATTTTATTTTTTATTTTTTAGCTGAAGTGATAATTCCACAAATTTATAAATGCCAAAAATTAAGAAAAGTTCTTTCATGTTTTTAGCTACGAACTTTACTCTAATTTGTGCAATATGATTGTACAGAAGAAACAAACAAATGATCGATTTTCATAGGCAGTTTGATTATACAATTGAGAATGAGAAATTTGGGGATCTTACTTGATTGATGAAAGTTACTTCCAATATAAATATGTTTATTTAGAATTTTAGGACTTATTATTCCCTCTGCCTAATTTATTACATTTGTCGACAGTCGATTTAAGGTTTTAGCAAAAGCCTTGTTCTGTTCTCCATTTTTTAGCTTCTTGTAATTACATCCGAAAGTTTCCTAAAAATTATTTTTTAAAATGTGATGATTTCATATCATACTCAAACTAATTCTCGTTCGACTTATCTTGGAAGGACTGATTCACAAGGCCGGAGAAGATTCCGTTCACATGATTATGATCTTTACTCTAGAGACTCAACCTCCGTACAAGTTTGACAAATTTTTTTTGGTTAATATGTATCTATTAATTAACAAGAAAATCTAATACTTATTTGTTTTAAACAAGAGTATTTTATTGAATCAAAATAATATAACTAGTGAATATTTTCCTTTTAGACGAAAAGAATCCTTTTTTACATTGTAATTTGTCTTGTTAGTTAAAAAGTAAATAACAAGACTTTAGTGATGTTTGTATGTTGGCTTTTTGCCTTTTTGTTTAGTTAATTAATTGATTGATTCCATACCAATTTACATGCGTAGAAACAAGAAAGAAAAGTTGCAATTAAAAATTAGTAAAGAATTTGTATAGAAATTTGTGTGACAGTCTCAATTTACAAAATGTTTCATAGAATCTGGATTAGATACGAAGGAGACGGAGAAGATGATACCCAATTGTCCATTGTCTTGGGAAGACTGAAAGCATGAGAATAGAAACAAGGAATTAACTTTAAAGCCCGGTTAAAACTGTGGTTTTTAATTAATTTATTAGAATTTACTTTAACGTTACGGTCAATTCGTTTTTAACTTATCGATCGCATATATCATATCATATATCCAGAATCTATAAAGAGATTTCGAGGTTCATCCTCACAGCACCAGCGCCAAAAAGGTTTACTTATAAACACTGGGTCCAATGTGGTAGAAAAATTGAACAATTTTAACAAAAATTTGGGTTCAAGTTAAAAACAAAAATATAAAACATATGTGATTAAAATAATTGTCAAGAGAATTTCACCTATTGAAAAAGAGATTTACTCAGTTTAGATTTTGATTTATCGGGACAACAAATTTGGATACTTGATATGTATAGTACTAACAAAACCAAAA